AATGCATTGTTTTTTTTAAATTTAAATTTGACATTTTCTTATGAAAAATCAATAAACAATTATCAGAAGTATTTAAATGAATAAAAAATTATAATAAAATAAAAATGCAACTAAATTCGTCAATGTACAGGCATTGTTTTTTAATCCTCTCGTTAATTTTTTTTTAAAATTAATTGATGAAAATTTTATTTTAAGTAAATATATATTTCGGTTACAGTTTATATGTCCTCTGTCATTACTATATTTGTCCGTAATCTATATATGTGGTTTTGGTTTTGACATTTAAGGGTATAAAAGTGAATGGAAGTGGTTCATAAATAGACTGTTTATATATTTTTGAGCCTTCTTTTTAATGCTCTGTATCATTTAATTTCCATCGACTTGAATTAACTGTTCGACGTTTTTTGAATTTGATAACCAGATCAAACCTCTACTTTATTCTATAATTGCTTTTATTTTTTTACATATTATATCAAATAAGAAAAATGAATATTTTCAAGGATGTGATGGTGTAAAAAACTTTTTTAACGATAGATTTCAATTTAAATATTTTATATAATATTAACACAATTGAATTAACAGTCAAAACGACAATAAACGAAATTTAAGTAAATCAGTCATCAATATTTGGAATTATTTTAAAATACTTATATAAATATGAACAAAATAACTAACTTGATTTTTAAAATTAAACATTGAATACCTTTGGAAAAAGTTCTTGCATTTTGAACCATTTGTTTGATTAATGATGAGTAAAATAAAATATTGTTACTTTTGTAAATAATAATTAATAAATTAAAAGTGTGCTTTGTTAAAATGATAATCACGTTTGTTATGATTTTTGGTGCAAAGTGTCAAATTAAACAGTTCAGAAAACATATAATTTTATATTTGTATCGTTGAAGATTTGTTATGATCACAAGTTTAAAACTATGAAATAAACAAAATTGTTCAATTCAAAAATATGGTTTGAAGTTATTATTGACTTACTCAAATTATATCCAAAGACAGCACACGACCAACAAGGTCCATTTGTTTAAATCAACACTTTTCAAAATTTCAAAAGTAAATATAAACTATTTTTTCGAATAAGGACACGTTAATTGTGGTATTATTTTTAAAACAAAAAGCAGAAATAATAAACCATTTTTGTAAGTTTGAATATTAGTTTGATAAC